ACTCTTTATCAGTCTCTCTCAGACGGAGAAAAGAAGACGTTCTTTGAAGTATCAAACAAGGCCGCTGAGCTGATTAGTTTCCATTTGGAGCCACAGTCGACACCCCTTCAGTTTGTGATCTCCAAAGAAATCGTCGAAGTTATAATTGGTACTCTGCTTTGTACTCCTGAAGAAGGAGGAGGCTCTCCGACTGCAAATCCGCTCTCGGTATTTTCGTTCGACGAAGCAACACAAAAGTATTCTGTTTGGATCAAGCAGGTGAAACAGTACGAGTTAGCTACAAGATTTGTTGGTCGAGGACTGTCCTTCCGCCAGGCGGCTGGAGCTGTTCAAGATGCCAAAGACATCACTGGATGTATCCAACTAGGTCATTGCAGCGAAGGCACAGTTGCTAGGCACGTGCGGATTTTATGTGCTGTAGCGTTCCAACGTTTATCGGATTTACTGTCCGATTGCTGGGCTTTCTCTGTCGCTGCTGACGGATCCAGTTGCCAGAGCACTTCATATATTGATATACGAGTTCGTTTTTGCACAGGTGGAAAGCTGCAAAATTACCACCTGATTGCCGTGCCATTTTCTGGCAGCCATACCGGAGCTGCAATGTTTGACGTATTGGAAACAGTACTGAGCGCGTTGTGCCCAAACTGGAAATCGAAAATCCTGGCATGTTCTACAGATGGTGCGCCGAACATGATTGGACACATCTCCGGACTGGTAACACGTCTGTCTGAAGTTGCACTTCCAGGGTTTGTGAGAATCTGGTGCGCTTTGCATCAGGTGGATCTAGTCATGCAGCGAACATTCCGCAACGTAAACGAGGGCGAGTTCTATCAGGGTCTGACTGGAATGATATCCCACCTTCGTCGTCAAAAATCTCTAATCGATCGCTTGCAATCCACATGCCCTGCCCTTTCAGGAACGCGGTGGCTGTCACTGTCACGTGTGTCTTCATATCTCTTGATTCACCGGACCGAAATTATTAACCATTACGAATCGTTGAATATGGAAAGACGAAGCAGCCAGCAATCTTCCACATTCTGGATCTACCTTGCTGCCGTCAATGTAATTGCATCTGACATCAGCGAAACAGTACAGCGCCTGCAAGGAAACCGATCATTATTGAATCAACAATCTGCTGAAATCCAAGATTGCATCGAGCGCTTGGTAAAGCTGGCGTTTGCAGAGTCAATATCCGAGGAACAATCAAATTTAGATCCTGAGCAGTATATTTACAGCAGAGGGCTGCGGTTTACAAAAGAAGACTTGCATGGCTTTTTGTGTGACCAAGGCTTGTTCGTTGTTCAGCTTCTGCGATTGACGGAATCCTCCGGAACAGAGAGGATTCTTCAACACGTTGCCAATATGCTCAGCTCCTTGATTGCCGGACTCAAGGACGTTTGTGCAGAACGGACTGACCTGAACACGGCCAATAATCACCTTGTTCTCCCAACGTTGCCTTGGGAATACATTGAAATGCGGCCCCGGGATCTTATTGCTTTGCTGGAAAATCACCACCACCGGTTGGAGGCTTCTTTCAATCCTAGTGAAATTGAAGCTATTTGTTTTCAGCATCGCGATCTGAAGGCGCGTT